AAGCCTAGTGGACGGGTACGCCAACGAAGTACTAAACCTAATTTGTGGAGATTATACCGAGGACTCGGATAAATGTACCAAGCTAATACTTAAAACACCGAAAAAGTTACCCTCTCAAAAACCACCTAAATCTATCCTGCCACCTTTTATTAATATACTGAGCTCAGTGCCTCAGTAAAGTTACTTGCGCATATTTTAAGCTTATATTTATCACGTGCAAATTTATATCCGGAACTGTCAAGTTTAAATTTAATTGACTGACAAATGAATAGTTTATTTTTGACACAATTTTAATTTTTAATAAATTAGCGTGTATTTTTATTTTACTTATTTTGTATTGACATTAATGTAATCAACAAAAAATATTAAATACCTATTTCAATGGTGAATGAAATTATTTTGTTTTAATTTGTAATTAGAAATTGAAATTCTTATTATAAATAAACAATTAAAAACAGGTTTAAGAATTTACACAAAAAAACTGTTTATAACCAATTATTATAGTTATTATGAACATAAACTTAATAAATATTTAAAACAGAAACCTGAATGCTTGCATTTATTTGCATTATAGTATAATGTAGCGTATCATAAAATTTTTGAAATTATACATAATTATGTAGAATATCCAATAATAAGTTTAAACAAAATTGTACGTCATACATATTTATATAATTATACTTGATGAACGTTAATATCCTTATTGATTATTATTTATAAGTGATTATAATCATACTCAACTTTTCAGTTAAACATTTAAAAATTTTTAAATACACATTATTAATATTTCCAATTTGAAATTGTAAATTAAAATAAAACATTTTCGTAAATTAATTTAAAATTTAAATTTTATATTATTTGGCCTTAAGACTATTTCCAACATTATGAACTTGGCAATAGTAGTATTAATTTTGTGTGCGTATAAGTTGTACATGGTTAATGGCCAGGGTAAAGTGAGCAAAGAATGTAAATCTAGCTCAAATGCCGATACGTGCTTGATGCGATTATTTATGATAGGCGACCCTGATTATATATGGCCCGAGGACATGGCCAGAATGGACAAACAATGCGAGTAATAAATAGACTTTATTAAATTTGACTAAAAATATTTAATCAAGCAAAATTTCTAGAACATATAAAGTCAACGAAAAATGTATCCGGGACTACGCCACTAAATGTTATCCGACCTTTCTCAGACAAATCACCAATGTGTTTGCCTATGGTAAGTGTAATTAATATGATTAATTGAAATAAAATTTTCATTTTCATTTTGCCTAGGTGCTGCTAAAACAAACAAAGTATACTGTTCAAGTGCAAGTCGTAAGGAAGCGTATATTTCAATTGGCAAGTGTGGCAATAAAATAAAACCTCAGCAAGATAAATGTATGAAGCAACTCATTACCGCCATACAGGGTATTGAGAATTACCCGGATCCTAAAATGCGTTTACCACTATCGTGCTGGTTAGTAATATTAAAGTTATTAGACATAAGTATATTAATACTAAAATATTTACATTTACAAAATTATCGTACATAATTTACTATAAAAATATTATTGCGTAATATTAAATATAAAAAATATTTTGTATAATAAATATAATAAGATTACTTTAAATAGTAGTTAGATATTAATTTGTAATAGGTAAATGATTAAATACCCAATACCAATTAGTGATTTAATAGCAGTCATATACCACTAGATAGGGGCACCGTAGCTATATAAACATAAATATTAAATTTTAAAATATTAAATTTAAATTTTAAAGTTTTGTTTTTAATAATCCAAAAGGCATGTAATATATTTTAATAAATTTAATCTAGCAACTTCCACAAATTGAAGGCATGTCTACTGGGTAACGTTGCCCGCGAGGGTGCGCCCCTGTGTACCGAAAGTGTGTATAAGGAGAGCGTATATCTAGCGGACGGTTATGCCACTGATATACTGAACTTGATTTGCAGCGACTATACGGAGGACTCGGACAAATGTGCCAAGCTCATTATCAAAACACCGAAAAAGTTACCACATCAAAAAACACCCAAATCTATACTACCACCATTTTTTAATATAATGAACTCCATGCCGCATTAATGTAACGTGGCAATTTCTAGATTTTGAATATATTCCTAATGCTACAGTATTATCAACAATGTTAATATGTTTTGCACACACTAGAGGGTGACAGGGTTAAATATGTCTGCTTTGTATTTTAAAAACGGAATATCAAAAATAAAAAATATTTTTTATAGCTTACATACATTAATGATATAAAATTTAACCAACAAAAATTATTAATGTACAAAAATCTCATTGTACAAAGTATTGTAGAATTAATTTTAAAAATAAAAATAATTATATTAAAAATATTCATAATAGCATTATGATTTTTAATATTATTAATTCTACATTTATATTAAAATTGTAATAGATACTATAATTAATTTTAAAATTATATTGGGTCCTAAACTGCTGGAAAAATATGTTTTTACCGATTATTTTATTAATTTGTATCGCAAACTATCTACACGTAACAAATGGCCAAGGTGATACCAAAAATGATTGCAAAGCTGATGCAAATGCCGATTCGTGCTTGATGAAATTACTCATGATTGGCGCCCCTGATTATAAATTTCCAGAAAATATGGCTAGCATGGACAAACAGTGCAGGTACAATATAGTACAGTATCTAGAAAGCTTACTATTTTAAAAATTATTACCAAACTTATTTTAAATTCGTTCTAGGACATATAAAAATCATGAAAAGTGTATTAAAGATTATGCGGCTAAATGTTTGGCAACGTTTCCCAAACAAGTGACTAATGTCCTGGCTTACGGTATGTCTACATACGTAAATGTAAGCTATTTTATCATGATAATATTTGTTTATCTAGGTGCTTCAAAAACAAATAAGGCCTACTGTTCCACTAAGCGCCGTAAGGACTCGTTTAAAGCCATAGGAAAGTGTGGTAACAAATTGAAACCCCTGGCCGATAAGTGCATGCGCCAGTTCATCGATAACCTACAGGGCATTGAAAATTACCAGGATGCTAAAATGAAAATACCTATATCATGCTGGTAAGTTGTATGCTTTATTAAGTTATATGTTATGTTACGATTTAATAACTATGACTAAA